CTTAGGGTAGTCCTCATTTTCTCAACCAATACTTTTTTAGGTTGCATATAGAAATTTTTTTTTGTTTAATGTCTTTCAAAAACGCTAATAATCTTAAAAGTATGCTTAATTTTTATTTTTGACCACAGAATTCTTTTCTACATTAAGAATTACAAATTTTATCCTATATGCAGCAAAAAATTTTTGAAATTTCAACTGGCAACTTCAATTATCTAGATGCAACTTGAAATTTTGAGTTATAATTCAATATTTCGACTTGTAACTGGAAATTCTGACTTGCAATTCGAAATTTCGACTAATTAAAATTAATGCTTTTATTTGATTAGTCACAAGGTTACGATAGATAAAAGACAACGGCATAAGGGTTTTTAATTTGCCTTAGGTTAGGTTGGAATTCGGTTAAGGTGGGTTTGGTTCAACCCTACAATCAAAAGAATGGACACTGCTACAACACTCACTTCATTTGTGTAGTCCATACATAGCGTATTCATATAATTCTAACTTATTTATCAAAAAATAATATTGTCGTAAGTTGGGTTAGGTTAGGTTTGAGTTATAAGTTGATATTTTAAATTCTAACTCGAAATTTCGAGTTAAATGTCGAAATTTCAAAAAAGAATTATATTTGTCTCTTCTACGTCTTCGTGTTTTTAGGATCTAAACTGATCAAAAGATTTGGACGTTTTTGGGCACAGTACTCATTTTAAAAAGAAGTATTTTAAATTAAAGTTCATGGGAAGCAAATGAACCACAGATAAGAAAGCCTAAATTAAATATTTACATGCCAATAACTCCTTCATGTCCTTCAAAAAAGTCCTTTTGCAAACGTTCCTTGTAGTAGTGAAGTGACGGCATCGAAGGCCTGTGGGGCATATGCTCTTCTTGTCTAAAAATTTTTTGTATATTGTCCCCATCGAAAACAAATAATAAATCAGGGTGTCCAATAAGTCCCCCCACTTTTACTATTTTGCCATATTCTTCGTACAGTGACCACATAACTTTATCCAAATCTTGAATTTTGTAATGACCTACATTTTAAAGAGAAAAATTAAATGAAAAAGTTTTAACAACTTGTACATTACTTTTTCAGCACATAAATACTCATATAAGGGAGAATGAGGTTGGATTATTGACAAAAAGTTTTTGTGGTAATTAATGTGAGCCTCTTTTAGTTTAATTACTTACCCTAATATTTATTTTCTTACTTAATTTTCAAGATACGTAGATAGTCTTTCCAGAAACACATGATATTTTTCATATACAAATATTATAATATAATTTAGTCCAGAGTCCAATGTGAACTATTTTCAGGTAAAGTAGATATTTATTTATTAACAATAATTATATTTTACCTGAAAATAATTCAGATTGGATCCTTCTTGAATATTATATAATCCTAACTACTATTATAAAGTTTGTTTGTTTGTTATCTTTTCACCCCTTAACTGCTTAATTGATCATCATTAAATTTTTTACACATGTTTTTAGAGGTATAGGAAAGGTCACAGAATATCTTTTATCCAGAAAAAATACTGTTCCCGAAGAATAGAAAAATTAGTTATATGTGGTTGATTTCAAGCCTTAACTGATCAGTCAATCTTTATGAAATTTTGTAGATATATTGTCAGGGGTACAAAAAAGGACATAGTTCCTATTTTCAACTCTCTTTTAATTTTTGGTGGTTGAATGGTTGTATTTATTTTGTTGCATTTGTAGTTAATAGAAATATATTATTTCTGGATCGAATTTTATATGATGTTGCACTAATTTAAATCAGTTGTAGTTCTAGTAATAATCATTTTTTTTTTTTTCTGTTTTTGATAGAAATGATAAAGTTATGCTTCTTATGGGCTTAATAAGTGGTTTAATATTTACACAGTTATTTACGTCAATTATCACTCCTTCGACTGCAACATTTTAAACAAGAAACCTTAGGGGCCGATGGGGGGTTTGAACTCCCTAAATTCTCCGATGGCCAGGCCACTGGCTAAAGTTTACACATATTTTAATTCTTTTGCATTCTCTGTTTCTTTTTGTTTGGTTTTCGCTTAATATATTAATATTTTTGTTTTGTTTCAGGTNTTCCATTAGACACTCTGAGTAAGTGCCCTGGGCCCCGCTATCGACGGTGGCCCCCTAGTTTCTGCCAAATCCATCCATCAACCCAAAACCCGATATTTATTACCCAAAAATATATTTATTTTGAGGAAATTAACCAGTAATTATAAAACAAAATTAAAAACATGAATTGAAAATTTCGCACAAACTGTGTTGAATCAAATATTTTTGAATAAAGAACGAAAAATTTTATTTCGTTTGTCACTCCAAACTATCAAAATTACAATACTAACATCAATCAAATTTTTTTAAGACCACTGAAAATTGTATATCCATCCTTCTTCTTTGTCGAAATTGTATAGGTCTGTCTTATTTATTTATGTTAGGGATTTTATTTGGGGTATCATTAGCCACAACGATCTGGACAGTCAACGCGGCGGAATAGCAAAAGTTAGAAACGTTTGAAATGTAGCATTACAAACAACAGGATGACGAATACGACCGAGGAGAGAAAGAGTTAGAAATAAATCGATATTGAAAAGGGTAGGAATAAAATAAAGAGTACAAGGCAGAGATAGGACAGTAAGAGACTTTCTGATTCATGAACGACTAGTACAAGACATTAGAACCAGAAACAGGAGTAAAGAGGAGCAGGGTAATACCAACATTATATTAGTGTTTGCAAAAATTAAGGATGTAGGGTATTCTAACTTTAGAGACTGACGACTCTACAGATGGTGATAACGTTATTATTGGGTTTAACAAAGCACTTTTACTTGTTTTAAACAAATTGTTTATTTAGAATAAGCAAACAAACAGATAAATAGCAATATTTTATTGGAACTTCCCTGATTTAATAATTACACAACATGATGATAAACACTAATTAAAAATCGACAGCAAATACAACTTTTGGGCAAAATTGAAACAATTTCAAATACCATATAATTAATTCAAGGAAATATTAATATTTTTGTTTTGTTTCAGGTACGAATTTAAATAAACTGCATTCTCATCGGTAAAAAGGTAATATAAGATTTTTTTCTTGAAATTATTTGAAAAAAGCGTTTCATTAATTTAAATTTCAATCACAAATTAACCAGTGAAAAAATAATTAAAAATTAAAAAGGAAGACTCAACCCGAATTACCACAAAAAAGAGTGAAATGAGCGAAACACGTGTCCGCTCAAAAAAGTTTTTTTTGTGGTAATTAGGGGTGAGTCTTCCTTTCTAATTTTTAATTAATATTTACCACAGTCTCCTCTTTCAACAGTGAAAAAATAGATAAAACGCCCGGTTTTAAAAATTATTTATTTATTCACAATGTTTTTCAAAAAGAACTGAAACTCACTTCGGTCGTGTTGTCGTAGTAATGTTCAATTATAGATAATATACATAATTACTGGATTGAATTAGAATTGATTAAATAAAAAAAAAATAATTCAAATTTACTAACCAATGACAGGCGCAAACCTCCAGGAATTCCCTATGATTGGCAATTGTTTAGGGCCTGGAATTTCACTGTAGGGTCTTGGATAACATTCGGCAACGACGTCTTCAAAATTTTCAGTAGTTAACGGTAGGGCTGCGGTAGAGTAAGATTTCTGAGTACTGCATCTCCTCGTAATAACAGTTATTATTTGAGAAACTCTTCTAATTTTCATTTTCGAGCACAAATTAAACACTTAACTTATAAAAACATATTCAACTTAATCAAATCAATAATTATATTCTTAGTATTTTATTAAGAAGCAAACTTTTTATGTACTGTTCTGTTTTGCCATTTGAATTTTGAACTGACATAAGTAGCCCGCGTAAAAGATCATAACTACATATATATAAATCACGGGGTGGGGAAGCACCAACCGGCTCTGCTCATTGTGGGAATGTTGTAATAATCCATTTTCTCATCTAAATTCAACACAACCATAAGCATACAAGTGTATACAACTAAAAGGTATAAAATAAAAAGTTTTAGTATAAATATATACACTAAACATTTATTATATCTGTGTGGTATTATACAACGACAATAAATTAATAAAATATACCATAAGCATAACTTTTGCGTTATCATTAACTAATTATATAATTTTGAATTCGCTTCTATGTTAACTGAAATATCACTTTCTACGACTTTTCTTCAGTAACCTATATTTTTTTACATTCTAATTATTATCTGTTTCTCGTTTCTAACTTGACAATTTTTTTATTTCCTTAACGTGGATCTTGAACCTTGGCGAAGTTCTTGTACAAACTAGAACGGGTGGATCGGCTTGCGAGTTTCGGTGATTTTGGGAGCCGGACCATAGATTCAACCATAATGGGAGGAAGGGTTCTTAAAGAGAAACCAGACTAAGACAAGTCCCTGAAAGAAGGTAGCAGCTCTTTCAGTACTCAGGGTGGCAGAGATCACGAGGATCGGTGTGGCACTTCGATGCACAATACTTTTTTTTTATGTTTTCGTGGAAGTGGGGAAATCTTCAAAAGACACCCAGTCGTCCGTACGACTGGGTAGTATCGGATTCTCGAGTAAGACCTACCGACTAAAACCCCTCTACCTCAGGCCGTTCTATGACCAACTAGGGTCCTCTTCAGCCATGCACAATACTGCGATGTGGAAGGCAACGGAAAACCACCACATTAGGACCCCGTGTAAAGCGTACATGTATACAAGTTAAATGATGTCCTCTGGGGTAAAGAACTCCGAACGTAAACTAAGTACCCCATCCGAATGTCCGGGCGGGGACTACCTTGGGGGATGTCATCAATAAGTGCAATAGGGGAAAGTGTAAATTTTCACGAATCGGAACGTGGAATATCAGGACAATGAGGCAAGTAGGGAATTTAGAAAATTTGAAAGTTGAGATGAATAAACTAGATTTTGGTCCGTTGGCCCGAAGCTGGAGACTTCTGGAGTGGAGACTTTAGAATCATACATACAGGATCGGTGGAAGGTAATTCAGGGATAAGAATTGTAATGCGTAGGAAAGCAGGACAGAGTGTAGAAAGTTATTTACAAAAAAAAGCGATAGGATAGTTATGGTTAAATTAAACTGGAAGTCGGTAAAAACGGTATTAGTGCAGGTCTACATGCCTACATCATCGTACAATGATGAAGACGTAGAAGCGGTTTATGCAGATATAAAAGACGTGTTAAGTTTAGTGAGAGGGCAGGAAAACTTAATAGTTGTAGGAGACTTAACGCAATAATAGGTGAAGGTAAAGAGGGTGAAATAGTAGGTTCTTTTGGATTAGGCAATGATAAGGGAGATAGGCTGATAGAATTTTGCGATAAACATAACCGTCGCGATTACAACCATGACGTTAGGAGGCGCTATATGTGGATGATGCCAGGTGATTAGGGAGATACAGTTAGATTACATATCTGTTAGACAAAGATTTAAAAATCAAGTGAAGGACTGTAGAAGTTATCCAGGAGCAGATATAGATTAGATTATAACGCAGTCGTCAGGGGCGCAACAACGTTACTGGGTGCTTCCATCATAATATTATAAATATTTATATACTACGGGGCTGTATAAGCTGAAAAGATCGAGTTCGACTGCTCATTTACGAGCTTGAACTATTTTTACCGAACTTTCAAGTTGGGTTATTATCTGAATCGACTGGAATTGACTGGGTGCCCAATCCAATCGAATGGGTAGTGAACCCCCCTTGTTGCGCCCTTGGTAGTAGTTATGAGGACCAATCTTAAACTGAAAATTCTGAAAAAGAGGGAAGGTAGGAGACGTCTTGACTTAGAAAAGCTAAAATGTAAGGAAATGCGTGATAGGTTAGGTACCTACAAAGAATGACGGAATACTAAAGTTCTATTATTCCCAACTTTATCAAAATACCAATTTAGATTTTTTATTTTAACACATACTCAAAATCAATACTTATCGCATACTTTTCTACACTCTTTTTTGTATTTCTTCTTGTAGATATTCAAATTAAACTTATTGTCAAGTTGAAAACTGAGAGGTGCATTTTTAATCTATTTGTTTTTTGGTAAAACTCTATTAGGCTAAATATCATCCTATTTTTTTTATTTTAACTCAAACGTCAAATCAGCTTTTTATCTCCTATTACACATCTGTTTAACGTTTCAGATAGATTTTATGGATTGTTTTTTATGTAACTGTTCACTTAGGTTTTCATAATAAATTAATGACTTTTTCGCCTTTTGTTTGTTCCTTTTTTTTAATTTTGTCATATGTAATATCGCATTTTTTTTATTTTAACTCAAATTGGAATGTTTTGTCTCCACGAAATTCTACACAATATTTTACACTATATTCCCTTCGTCAATGATTTAAAATTACTTTATCGTGATTTATTATAAACGAACTCAGAATCTATCATAAAATTGTATGAAGGACGGTCAATCAAACATTGGTCACCCTCGATAGTTGCTAGGGTGTATTTCCTTAGGTCTGGTCCTCCTGCAAAATTACTGAAAAGATTTTTTTCTCACTTTTAGTATTTGTATTTCTTCATTCAATAATAGAAAGTCTTTTTTTCTGCAAGTTTTTAATTTTATCCATCGAATTACAAATAAATAACAAATGTACACAATACAAAGAATGCGTGATATTGGCGGCCGTGAAAGCCTAGATATCTATTTTTGTCCACAGTACTAAATTCCAAATTTAATTCTGATAGCAACTTAACCTCTCTAAAGTATTTTTTATTAGTCTGTCATTGAATTTTTTCTTTTGATAATTTTACTTTATTTTTATTTTTGTATTAAAAATGCCGAAAGGTCTGAGTATGGTAGCTGCCGACCAACTCTGGAAGGCTTATGTTGTGTCTGAGGACAATTCGAAAGACGCATGGACCAATAAATGGAATTGGATTTTAGAAGAATATGAGTAAGATCTATTCCTTCTTAAATCCTATAAATGCCATTGATTTTTTCAAAAATTGTTAATTAGAAAATTACACCAAAAGCTAGATGAAATTTCAAAGACGGCTGATTACCCGAAACCGCCCCCGGATGTACGATCCCTTAAACCATTTCCTAATTCTGTTAACCACGAATATGGCTGGGTCTGTGCCAATCCCGAATTTAGACTTGAAAAGTACGGCCCTGATATCATGAAGCCAATGCCATTACCTAAAGATAACTAACAATAAGCACAAAAACTCATCTATTCGTTAAAACATACGTATCTACATGTAACTAAAATTTAATATATTTTTAAACTTACTAAGTATGAATTAATTAGGATAAAAATTATTTAAATAGATACAACTATTATATAAAATACTATTAAACAGTAAACAATTCTTTCATAAAAATAAAATCAGTTTTAAATGTGAGGTACAATTTTATAATACATTATGATTCCTAAAACTCTATTAGAGTCAATAAAATTTTTTCTTGCTACATTCTTAGGGAAACCCCTCACAAAACCAAACTTTTTCTGGCCTAATTTCGAATTAGATGGGCAGAGTTCCAATGAAGTACTCTAGAATCATCCTCAATGATTTTGAATGTGTTGATACTTCGCTACGTTAATATGCAAAAATTATTTATTTTAACTTTTAAT